GCGTGGTATACCCTGTGTCCGCGCAGCCCCCGACGGTGGTGGTTCCCCCACCAGCCCCAGAAAGAGGGAACAGTCTCGCACTCAGCAGCCCCCCAGGGATGTCGAGGTCAAAATGCGAGTCCGCGGAAGTCTTCCCTGTGCTGCCCTTTCCCCCCCCCGCAGCCTTCGAACGTGGCGTCACAGTTTCACACTTCGCACCCCCCAGGGATGGCGAGGTCGAAACTGAGTCCGCGTAGCCCCCGAATATGTTGCCCCCCCTATCAGGCTTCGAAAGTGGCGGTAGCTTCACACTTCGCGTCCCCCCAGGGCCGGCGAGGTGTAATCTAAGTCCGGTAAGCCCCCAGCTTTGTTGCACCCCCCCCTCCCCCCAGCAGCCTTAGAAACTGGCGACAGTTCCCAACCCCACAAGGAGGCGAGGTCTAAAATGAGTCCTCGTAGGCCCCGACCATGCTGCACTCCCCCAGCGGCATTGGAAAGTACGGCGGGTTCATAGCCCGCGGTTCCCCAGGGGTGGCGAGGTCGCGTGGAATGGCGTGGTGGGAGAGGAGGGCGGGGCCGGAGGAGGAGGAGGAGGAGGAGAATGAGAACGGGGAGGAAGGAGGAGTGGAGACTTCAGTGTTCGATTCAAAACGACAACCCAAAGCACAAGGACCAGGAACAAGGTCTGGAGGCCCAGAAATTGTGCAGAAAATCTGAAACACAGAACTGGTGCAAGAGGATGGCGCACCCCCCGCGTGGAATCCTCACCAGATAACGGGGCACGGGGATCCGAATAAGCACCTGGACGCCCCAGGAGGCCCTGGGCTGCGCGGACCCAGCTTCATCTACGAAGGATCCCGTGTCCGTTTGCTGTTTGCTTTAAGTGGGTCGCCATGTTGTCCCGGGGCTCCTTCTTTGACGGGTGGTGCGGCATTGCACGATTATTTTCCCACGGGGTCCCCGCGCAAGAACCACCCGACCTTTGCGAATGTCCAGCTCCCCGTTTGTCGGCGTTCTGCAAGTGCGGCGCCTGTCAGGTTGGAGCGGGCGCTGCAAAGAAGTTGATTCAGCCGCTGGGGCAATGGGCACCACCAAATATTACTCCAAACGAATATGTAAGTACACCTCATCGTCCTCCTTGTCAGTGCAGAGGCCCTTTTCCTGTATTATCATCGCCCTTGTCCGTTTCGCCCACGCCGACGCCATTTTCCCGCCCTGTGTTTTGCCTCTTCATCCTCGTCCTCGTGCCTCTTCTCCCCCCCCCATCCTCCTTTTCCCCCGCCGATTTGAGCAGGGGCATGCAAATGCATGTTCCTTGGCGCCGTTGCCGCCACGGCCAGCAAGGGCGCGTTTTCCGAGAATTGCATCGCGAAGCCGCTGGGGCAACCCCGTGGGCCAGGCCGTCGGGACAACCCCGCGAGCTGCTAGGGCGCGGGCGCAAGCCGTTGGGACAACCCCGCAGGTCTCGAGCTACTCGCGGCCGCGTTCAGGCTGGAGACAGCGCGAAGCCTAGCTCTGCCGCGAGCAGCTCCGCGTGAACCCTGGAGTCCCCTGTTCTCTTGTCGAATTCCCTGCGCTTTCCGCAGGGAAGCTGGCGGCCCGCGTTCCAGGAACTCTCCCGCGCGGGAGGCCGCAGGATCAGCATGTTCAACATGTACTTCCTCGCCGTTCATTCACAGACGAAGTTCCCGCTCGAGACGTATTTGACCCTGAGTAGGCCAGAAACAACTGCTGCAGGGTTCCGATGACCCGTTCGGATTGGCAACATGAGTTGCGGGCCGCATATGGAGGGGGCTCCCGCCTGAGATCTCCTCACAAATCAGTCACGGACGAGGCTCCCGCGTGACTTTTCCTCCATACTCAAGCATGAAAAAGCCAAAGTGGTGACGGTTACAGGGTTTCGATGGCCACATGGGGAAAAGGGCCCGCGTGAGACATCCACGCAATTCAGTCACACGCAAAGTTCTTGCACAAGAATTCCTCCATACGCAAGGGCGAACAGGCCAAAGGCGACGACAGTTGCAGGTCCGGATGACCGGTTCGGAGCGGTAACAAGAGCTGCGGGCCCCACCAGGGCGGGGCTCCCGCTTGAGTCGTCCTCACAATTCGGATGCCCCAGCGTGGCAATGTTTCCATACCGAAGCCTGAAACGGCCAAATATGACGACAAGTATACAGTTCCGATGGCCCGTTCGGATGAGCAACATGAACTGCGGGCGCCGTAAGGAAAGGGCTCCCCAGTTGAGACACCCACGCACTTCATTCATTCACACACGTGGTTTTGGCCTGGGATTTCCTTGACATGATTGCATGTGTGTGCGACCATGATGATGTGAAGGTGATGAGGATGATGATGACGATGAGGAGGATGGTAATGACGAAGAAATGAGGGCCATGGTGAAACTGTGATTGTGATGGTGATGGTGGTGACAATGACGATGATGGTGAAGACGATGATGATGACGGCGATGCTAGTAATGGAAATGTGCGTGTTCCACCGACATGCACACGGGTAAGTGTGTGGGTGCGTCTGCGATTGTAAGCGATGGTGAGGTGATGAGTGGTGATGATGGTGTGAGGATGATGATGATGCTGATGATGATGATGATGATGATGCTGATGCTGATGCTGATGGTGAGGATGATGATGATGATGATGACGATGATGATGATGATGATGATGATGCTGATGATGATGATGATGCTGATGCTGATGATGCTGATGATGATGATGATGATGATGATGATGCTGATGCTGATGCTGATGCTGATGCTGATGATGCTGATGATGATGATGATGATGATGATGATGATGATTATGATGATGATGATGATGATGATGATGATGATGATGATGATGATGATGATGATGATGATGATGATGATGATGATGATGATGAGGGTGATGAGGGTGATGAGGGTGATGAGGGTGATGAGGGTGATGAGGATGAGGATGAGGATGAGGATGAGGATGAAAATGAGGATGATGATGATGATGATGATGAGGAGGAGGAGGAGGAGGAGGAGGATGTGGGGAGCGTCCTGTTGTTGCGGGGGGGGGCGTCCAGAGAAAACAAAAAAACGCTTAGAATGTAGGGAAACAACGAGGACTTGGAGTAGCTTACGAGGCATCGCGGCACTGGGCACGCCGACTCAGCGCACTCGAATGCACGAGGCATCGTGGCCCTGGGCGCGCGGACGTACCGTACGTCCCCTGGCACATATCCTGGCGCGTGCTGTGGCTCATCCCGCACGCCCCTCGGCAACCCCTCTGGCACGTTCTGTGGCGCGTTCCATGACACGTCCCCTGGCGCATCCCCTGGCAGTTCCTAAGCACGTCCCCTGGCACGTCGCACTGGCGCGCCCCATGTCGCGTTCCGTGGCGCGTCCCTTGGAGCGTCCCTTGACATGTTCCGAGGCGTGTGTCTTGGCACGTCCCTGGCGCGTCCCCTGCAAGGTCCCATGCACGTTGCTTGGAATGTGGCCTTGGCCATTCATTTGGCGCGTGCCCCAGCGCGTCGCCTGGCGCGTCTCCTTGGCTACTCCTGCCTCGCCCCTGCAGCGGCCGCAGGCTCCTCCCCTGGCACGTTCCCCTGGCGCGTCCGTGTGGCAGTTCCCCTGGCACGTCCCCTGGTGCATCCACTGGCGTGTCCCCTGGCATGTCCTTCTGGCGCGTCCCCCAGCGCGTTCTGTTACTCGTCCCCCGACGTCCCGTGGCACGTCTTCCGTCTCGCCCATGGCGCGTCCCACGGTACAGCCTGGGAGGCGTTTCTTGGCACGTCTCATGCCGCATCCTTTGGCGCGCTTGTTGGGGCATCCCCTGGGGCGTTCCCTGGCGCGTCGCCTGGCGCGACCCCGTGGCGCGTCCGCGCGGCACGATGCCTAGCGCGTCACTTGGAACGTCTGTGCCCTTGGCACGACCCCTTGGCAGGCCCCTTAGCATGTCCCTTGGCGCGTCCTCTGGCACGTCCCGTAGCGCGTCCCCTGGCACATCGTCCCCTGGCGAGTCCCTTGGCACGTCCCCCTGGCGTTGGCGGGCTCCGTGGCGGGTCCCCTTGCACATCCCCGTCGTCCGTCGTCGTCTTTGCCGAATTGATTCGGATCTGAAGCTCGGGCTCTCTGACCTGGGCTCCACAGGTCGTCTGAGGATCGGGTCTGGGGTCATGTTGGGGTTGTCCTGAGATCATTAGGTTGTCGTCATGAGTGTCTATGTGGCATGGCTTGGGGATCAGATTGGCATCGCTTTGTCGTCGTATTGAGGCACCTTGAGGCAGCACACAGGGTTAGAAGATCTGCATCCCTTTCTAGGTTCGTGGGTTGACCATGTTGCCAAAATACAACTGTCAGACAACATGTTGATGGAAAACTGTAGATATGGATTGCCAATGCATCTAGAGTGACAAGTGTTCCAGGGAGACTGTTGCTATGACGATCGTTGAGGCCATTGGAGCTACCCGATTGGCATAATTCGGGCAGGATGGAGGTATTTGATGCGTTGTCTTCTGCACAGGCCACGCTTGTAGTTTTCGTTTCGTGGCACCTTGATGATAACAGTCGTCTGGTTGAAAGCATCTTGACTGTGTCGTTTTGACAACCCGTCCATCGTAGGCGGTGAAGCATCACGTACTTGTTGTTCTGAACCAGCGCCCAGTACGCAGCGCCGCCATGCTCAAACAGAACGAACGCGGTTACATTGTTGATCGTCTATGAATTGTGTTCCGTGCCTTCGGGAGGCTGCTAAATGTTCTAGAAAGTGTATGGCTGTCAGCTCAGGCTTCATTTCGATATGGTCGACCGGGTTCGATATCGATTCTGGCCAGCCCGATTCGATTCGATTTCGATATGCCAACGATCCCATGCGGCCCGATGTTTGCATGGCGTTGTTGTGCGTATTGGCGCAGCCGATCCGATTCGATTTCGATTATGCGCTGATGCAGCCCGACCCGATGCACATTTCGATTCGGTTCGAACTACGGATTCGATCCTGACAGATCTTGCCAGCTTGGTCCCCCGACAAGCACAGGCGGCTCAGCCCACGTGGTCAGCTACGCGTGGGGCGCACCGTTGCCTGAGGAGATGAGGCGGCCGTTCGATGTGGTGCTGTGCGGAGATCTGCTGTACCACGTGCCGAGCTCAGGGTAGAGAATGAACAAGGCCGGGGTCGACCAGACAGTTGTTTTGGCATTATCGTGCATCGTTGTCGTTGTCTTTTCGTTGTCGTTATGCTTTCAGTCTAGGGCCCACCATTGGCCAATCACGACTTCGGATTTGCGCCGAAACGCTGTTGTGGACCATCAGCCAGACCGTGTTCGTTCCACAACGCCTCAAAACGACAACGAAACGGAAACGCAAGAAGCGGGTTTGCTCGACCCTTGGAACAAGGACTCCCCGACGACCGTCGAAGAAGACAAACAGCATTAACACGAACTCCCAGAAGTCCGCGCGGATTCGTTGGATCTGCGTCGGATCTGCGCGGCGCCTCATGCGCCGCCCCTGGCGCACTCCGCGCGCCAGGGATGGGCTTCCAGCGCCGATCCAAGAAATCCGCGCGGACCTTCGAAAGGGCTATGTCTATGCAGATGCTTATTCCTCTAGACTCCCCGACGGCCCTGCTGTAGGAATCCCATTTCCCCACCGAGAAGAAAGGTCGGTCACAGGCATTTCGTGGCGGCAAGGTTCTTGGTAAGAGTTTGGCCCGGAAGTGCGGAACGGAAAATCCGAGAGGGCATGGATGAGCACAGTGAGTCGGTTGTTTAAAGTGGAGATTTGAACGATGCGAAAAGTCTGGATCGTCTGCGCCGACATTGGCGCGCAAGCTGCCCGCGTAAGCTCTCGCGCAAGCGCCCTCGCTTCAAAAGTGGCGTGCCGCGCGGGCGGCCTGCGAAAACTGCGGCGTACGGTCGCTGTGTCACCTCGCGTAAGACCCGTTTTTGATCGTCGCCCCTTTGTTCTAGGCCTCCCAGATGGGGTCGGAGTAGATGGGGTCGGCGGATCGCGCCGCATCGCCGATGCATCGCCGATGCGACTCGATGTGAGCCCGATGTTCTCCACGCCGACGTCGCCGATGCATCTCCGACGTCGCAAGAGCATCGCCGACGCATCGCCGCCGATGCATCGCCGGTGCATCGGCGATGCAGTGCAATCCTCCGACCCCATCTATTCGGACCCCATCTGGGAGGCCTCGAACCGAGCCCCAGGAGGGGGAGGAGGAGGAGGAGGAGGTTCCGCTCGGTTCCTTTGAGGTCGGCGCGTGTGTTCCGAGTTCGGGCCGCTCTGGCTGCCAGGGGGGTGGGTCCGGGGCGAGCGCCTCTTGCGGGGCGTCCACCCCTTGAGGCTTTTGGGCAGTAGCCACCACCACCAGCACGCAATACCCGTCGGTCGTTGAAGATACGTCGGTCGTTGAAGGTAGGTATTTCTGGATTCCCAGATCCCATTCTGCGTCAAGCGCCGTCCTGCTTCTTCAAGAGCCGATGCGCTGCTGCTGCGTTCTGTCATGATCTGGGAGGGCCTAAACTCAATCTACTTGACCCGCCTTCACCTACTTCATTCGGGCCGGGCGAAAGGGGGGGATTGGGAAAGGGGGGGTTACGAAATTTGCTGCATGCAGCTGGTTTCGGCCTCACCGAGGGGCCCATTCCTCGATACATGGCCGCCTCCGGCGCCGGGAGGCGCCGGGAAAATCAGCTACGTGAGCTGATTCTCAAACCCCCCCTTTGCTATCCCCCCCTTTCGCCCGACCCGATTCATATGTGTACCTACTTCTACCGACCGACGTGTACACGGGGTGCCCTCCACCTGGGACGGATGATTCTAGCTGTTGGTGCTGGCGGTCCTATCCCGGCCACCTGGGAAGCCCAAGTATTACCACCGTCAGCGAGATCGGGCTTCCCTCGGCGGAGGCAACCGCCGACACTGGTGTTGTCGCACGGGGCTGGGACGAGGATAAATCCGTTCCAGAGCGTTTCGGAACGCTCTCAGAGCGTTCCGGAACTTTCTGAGAGTCCGCGGCGCCCGAGATATCCTCCAGAGCCGCGGGATCTCAGAGATTCTCGTTCACTTTTCCTGGCCCGATTTAATCCTTGTCTTGGCTTCGTCTCATGTTGGTAACAGCATAAACGTAAACTGTTGGCGGTCCGCGCGGACTTTTTGGATCTGCGCTGGGCCCTCCTGGCGGCGCCTCCGGCGCCGCCCCTGGCGCGCTCCGCGCGCCAGAAAAGGGGGTCCAAGAAATCCGCATGGCCTGACGGACCGTTCATGTCTATACATGGTGTCTGCTCCCTCAGAGAAGGCCCTCTCAGAAGGCTGCGGGGCTTCCCAGAAGCCCAGAAGCCCTCCTGTCTTCTGAGAAGTTTTTCTGTGCCTTCGGGGAAGCCTCAAAGAAAATGTGTCAGAAGGAGGAAGAGGAGGAGGAGGAGGAGGAGGAGGCGGCACCCCCCGGCGCGGCGGGGGGGGGCCGTGAGGTTGGGGCGGCGGCGCGGGCCAGCCTCAGTGCAGGGTTTTGTTGTTGTCATTTTTTCTCCCACGGGAGTTTGCGTCCCTGGACGCTTCCACTCGCCTTGGTGCCTCCATCGGTGCCGCGGTGTCGTCTTCGTCGCGTCTGTCGTGTCTGTGCTGTTTGTCGTGCCCGTCTTGTCTGTCCCGTGTGTCCGGTCTGTCTTGTCTGGCGGTCTTGGCTCGTCTGTTGTGTCTCCTGGCTTCTGGTTGCCATGGACAGTCGACGCCGGGGGAGCGCCAGGCTCTGCGGGTTCACCCGTGCTTTGGGTGCTGGCTCGTGTTGCAGTCGACGAGGCATAGCGGGCAGGCGCGTGCCAGTCGGCCTGTGTTTGTAAGCCCGTGCCCCTATGACGCCCTCTGCAGGCCTGGGTGGTGCACTCAGGTCGCAGGGGGGGTTAGGGGGCGGGAGGGCCTTCTGCTTTAACAGCACCTCACCTTCAGCGCTGGCTACCGTTCGTGGGCCTCGGCGCCTGTTGTACGGGCTTTCGTCGTCGCTGGTCTGCCGGCGCTGCGCGTCGCAGGTCTGCTGGCCTCGTCGCCACTTGCTCCCGCCGCTCCTCGTCGCAGGGGTCCCTGGCCTGGCCGGTTGCCACACCCTGGCCAGTGCCCTTGCTCGCCAGTACCGTGCACCAGGCCCGTGCCCTTGCTGGCCAGCGCGTCCCTCGTCGCAGGTCTGCCGGCGCCCGCGTCGCCACTGATACGCCGGCGCTCTCGTCGCCTCTGGTATGCCGGCGCTCGTCGTCGCCACGTCGTCGTCGCAGGTTTGCCAGCGCTCCTCGTTGCCACCTGCTGCCGCAACCAACGCACCCCCGGGGCCTCCGAAGCTCAAATCCACTCTCTCACGTTTTCAGCAAGCCCATTCTGCCTTCCAAGACGGACGGCTCAAGGAAGGCTCCAACACGCCGAAGAGGCTTCAGGAGAACCCACGATAGCACCCATGCGGCCCAAGAGGCCGCCAAGACGGCCCAAAAGGCCTCCAAGAGGCCTTACAAGACTGCCCCGAACGGCAAAATCCATACTCGTCCATGTTTTCGCCTTTCCGACGCTCCAAGACGGCCCAGCAGGCCTCCAAGACCGGCCCAAGACAGTCCAAGAGGCCCCCAAGAGAACCCCAAGACGGCCCACGAGAGCTGGCCCCCGCAGCCTGCCCCAACCTCACGGCACCCCCCCGCCGCGCCGGGGGGCAACGTGAAGTTGGCCCCCGCCGCCGCCCCAACGTCGCGGCACCCCCCGCGCGGCGGGGCCAACCTCACGGTGCCCTCCGCGCGGCAAGGTCTGGCCCCCGCCGCCGCCCCATCCTCACGGTTTTCCTTCGCGCCGGGTGGCACCGCGAGGTTGGCCCCCGCCGCCGCCCAACCTCATGCCCCCCCCCCCCGCCGCGCCAGGGGGCACCGTGAGGCCGGCCACCGCCGCCGCCCCAACCTCACGGCAACCCCCGCGCGGCGGGGGCTGCCGTGAGGCTGGCCCCCGCCGCACGCCAGGCGCCCTCGAACGGCGGCGCGCGGCCCCGAGCGCCCTCGAGCGTCGCCGCGAGCGCGCGGTTTATGCGCGTCCTACCCGCCCCCCCTGAGAATTTTGTTTTAAACCGCGTCGCTCCCATGTTTTATCGCGTGCCCCCATCACCTTGCATCCTTGCCTCTTCGGTCATCTTCGGTCCATCTTCAAACCACTTTCGACAGCCACCCCCGCTCGAAGAGCCTCGGCATGGGCGCCCGAGGCCCTGACATCCTTTTCGCGCATCTTTGCAAGCGGTTTTGACTGACGCCTTCGTGGGGCGCGTGGCGCCGCATTGGGGTTCCATGGAGCGGCCGTCATGAGGAGCTCTCCGGCCACCTTGGCGCCGTCTGGCGTTTTCTTGGGCCGTGCGGGGCCGCTTTGGGCCATCTTGGCGGCAGCCACACAAATGCATGCCCAGGGGAACGCCAGTCCCCAGCCGCGGGGCGCGGCGCCCCGAGCGTCGCCCCGACGCACGTCGCAGCGAAGCCCGGGACGCCAGGGGCGCGAAGAACCCCAGGGCGCGGGCGGGCGGGACAAAACGCAGCACGCGGCCACGCATGGGCAGCGTGCACGCCACGGGCCGCACGGGGGCCCCGAGCCAGAGAAGCGAACGCCGAGCGCGCACAGCCACGCACGGCGGACCAGACGGCAGCGGGGAGACGGCTCCCCCGCCAATGCCGCTGCCTGGCCAAGAGGCCAGCGGCCGCACATGGGCGGGCCGCGAACGAGAAAGTGCGGCAGGCCAGAAACGGCAGACGCACGAGCAGAGCAGCACCAGCACCCCTCCCTTCCCCACGGCCCAGCACCCCGACCCCCCCCCGTCCCACGGACGAGGCGAGGGTAGGGGAGCAGGGCAAACGCAGGAGCAGCATTCGTGCCAGCACACAAACGCTGCGACAGTGCGAGCACTCTCCCCGCGTTTGCGTGCTCATATTAAAAGTGAAGTCGGACAGTCTCCCTCCGGGAAATCGGTTTCGTGTTCGGGTTCGTGTCGTGCGTGCGGGCGAGGCGAAGTTGCGTGGGCGGGCGAGAGACCTGACTCGCTGTGGTTAGGGCGGGACAAGGCAACTGTCCAGCCCTCCCCCCTGGTGGACGGGCGGTGGCTGGGGGTGCCCCGCCGTGGTGTCCCGTTGGTGTTAGTGGGATCGGTAGTGAGAGGGAGAGTGGGATCGATAGTGAGATCGATAGTGATGTCCGGTTGGTGTCCTGTGTGTGTCCCGTCGGTGTTCCGCCGTCGGTGTCAAATCGTGCGATCGACAGTGAGATCGACAGTGATATAGATTGGGTGAGACGTCAGTTCCTTTTTCCCCCGAATTTTCTATCTCCCGAAAGGTGGTCGTATAGGTATCATGTGTTTGTCGGCGCTGCAGGGGCGACGCGCGCGCTCAGAAATCTAACAGTATCGGAGGCGAGGGGGGGAAATCGCAATGGAACGGAGCGCCCCCCACCAAGAACACGGTTACGGTTTCGTGCTCGTGTCACGCGGGCGGGCGAGGCGAAGCTGCGTGGGCGCGCAAGAGGAGGATCCCGCTGTCGTTTGGGCGATTCGGATGCAAAAGTCCGTGCGAGGTGGCTGGGAGTGTCCCACCGTGGTGTCTCGCGGTGTCCCGATGGTGTCCCGCGGTGTCTCGCCGTGGGCGCGCGAGAGGAATGATCCCGCCGTCGCTAGGGCGATTCGGATGCAAAAGTCCGGCCCTCCGGTGGGCGCGCGGTGGCTGGGGGTGTCCCGCTGTGGTGTCCCGCGTTGTCCCGATGGTGTTCCGCGGTGGCCCGCCGTGGTGTCCCGATGGTGTCTCGTGGTGCCCTAGTGTCCCGTGGTGTCCCCCCGTGGTGTCCCGATGGTGTCCCGTGATATCCCGTGGTGTCCCGTGGTGTCCCGCGGTGTCTGGCTGTGTCTTGTGGTGTCCCGTGGTGTCCCGTGAGATCGATCGTGAAATCGACAGTGAGATCGATTGTAAGATCGATAGTGTGATTTATAGTGAGATCGATAGTGAGATTGATAGTGAGATCGATAGCGAGATCAATAGTGAGATCGATAGTGATATCAATAGTGATATCGATAGTGGGATCCATAGTGAAATCGATTGTGAGATCGATAGCGAGATCGATGGCAAGACCGATAGTGAGGTCGTTAGCGAGATTGATAGTGAGACCAATTGTAAGGTCGATGATGAGATCGATAGTGAGATCGACCGTAAGAGCGATGGTGGGATCCATAGTGAGGGCGATAGTGGGGTCGATTGTGAGAGCGGTAGTGGCATCGACAGTGAGATCGACAGTGAGATCGATTCGAGATCGATAGCCAGAGCGATAGTGTGATCGATAGTGAGATCGATAGCGAGATCGATAGCGAGATCGATTGGAGATCGATTGAGCTGGACGTCGGGTCCTCCCCCTCCCCGAACCTCCTCGTCGCTCAGAAGGCGGTGGTACTCTGTGGCGGGCGCTTTCTGGCCATACAGCCTGGGTAAAGATGTACGACAGCACGCCTGTGCCAGGCTCCGGAGGGAAAGAGACACACAGGCACAATGAATCGTCGCCTCCCAGGAAAATATGAGAAAATATGGGAAATGGGGGGGAAGACAGAAACCCAGAAAACACGTGGAAATATGGGGAATCCGGTTATTTGTGTCTATTGATTTGTCTATCTCAGGGCCCCTTCATAGTACGTGCACCTCCAAGAGGGGCGCACAGTACTAGTACGCCCTTCTGCGTCCCAACCTACGTAGGCGATGAAGGATGGTCGGCCGGCCAGATGGGTCAGAGCGCTTGTGGAGAGGTCGGCAGGGCCAAATGGGAAGTGGACCGACCACTCAGCACCCCCAGCATCCTTGCGTGGCCACAGGGGGCAGTGGATCCAGCGGCAGTCGGCCAATCCCGCCACTGTGCGTGAGTTCGGGTCAGGGTCGCAGTGAGTGAGGACGATCGAGGTCAACAAAGCGTTTTCAACCATGCTCCTGGAGAGTCCCACCAGGGGGTTCTGGCACGTTTTGGAATATGCCTCTAGAGCCTCTTGGCACTGAGGGCTTGCGCTGAGGGTCGGGGTGAGGGGTGTCCGCCTAGGCGAATACATTTGGCTGGTCCGCGTCGGCGGGGGCTATGGCGTGTTCGATCATTGGAATGGAAAGTCGAAATGAAAGGCCATAAAGATGGTTCCGAGACGATCCCTTCCTAGCAGTCTTTTGGTGAACCCTCTCCAGCCCTCAGTCGTCCCGCCACCCCTGATTGCCAGAAGTTGCGTACAGACGAAGCGGCGACCATGTAGAGCGGTATTCTTTCTCTTGGATGCTTCTGACATTTAAGATATATCTCTCGCCTCACTTCTCTGGCCTGTCCTGCCCCTGACACCCTATCCACGTTCCTGAGGTTTGGAATGGCAGGCTCCAGTGCGAGTTCCTAGCCACGCTGCAGGACTCGTGAGCGAATTCCCTGGGATGGCACGACAGGGGGGCAGGCACACAGTGCTCGCACGATGTCTGCTCGGCGCGCACGGGGGCAATGCGGAAGCAGGGGGAAGGTGAGGTGCGAGCCTGGAACCAGGAGCGTGGCTAGCCTGAGAAGTGGTGAGGCCAAGTGTAGCAGAATCGGCATTCGCATCATCTGGGGACACATTGCAGTATTTGTATGCCTGCGCAACCGATTTGCGCAAAGCGCGCAGCCTGTGCCGCCAGGTGACGGCCTGAGCAATTAGAACGGGACACGCGCGCCAGGGACATGTGGATCAAACATGCATGTTCGGTTTCAGTTGAAGGCTACTCACGGCGGAAGTCTTCCGCCTTTGAGTGCTCGCCCTCCCCCCCACCCGCGGCCGCCCTCCCTGTCCTTCTTCCTCCCTCCTCCTGCATGCCGGCCAATTCGCTCTGCAGTGCCCCTGCATCGCTGCCACGCTGGAGCGGATTGCCCCGCCTCGCCGCCGATGAAAAAAACCGGTGTCAGTTGTCCTGTTCGTTGGCAAGTGCAGTTTCTCACGCGATGGAAACAGATCCGAGCATATGATCCTCATCATCCCTCTGCTCCCTCCCCCTCCCCGGTGTGCGAGGGGCGGCATTCCCACAGTTTGCGCATGTTCTCCTCTTGTCTTATCCGCCCGAGGACATCCACCGCAGACGAGTGGAGGGCGCCGAGTGCGAGCTGCTATTCGCATTCCAGGTGCGACTGGGACGAGTACAGTCGGGGCGTTGACCTAAGGAACCCTGAATAAGGAACGAGGTCCCTTTTTCTCATAAGTTAAACTTCGATTCCCCATGGGAAACCTCAGGAAAACCCAAGGCAAACTGTGAAGCAATCGAGGAACACCGAGCCCCTCCCCAACGAAAAGGGTTCCTTCTTCAGCGCCCCGACTGTAGATGATTAGAGGTGAGCGGAGGGGAGGAGATAGAAAACCTGCATCTCCAGCATTTGCGGATACACGAGTCGGGGGGGCGACAGTGCTGGGGCGCGCCATGGTGCTCGCCAAGAGTGCAAAAACAGCCCGCCGCAGGCGCCGATCGTGTTTTTGAGCGCAATGGGGGCGGGGCGGCCCGCCGTAGGCGCCGATTTGGTTGAAGCAATGTCGCAGGTGGATCGCTGCGTGGATGGGCCATTGATGGGTCGCGAGTGGGTCGCGGCGCGTGTGGGCCGCGGTCGCGTTCTCCTATTTCGAGTCGGCTGCAGCGCAGGAAGACTGAACACCGAGGCTTAGAGATCAGTCCAAGCAAAGCCACTGCAATCGCAAGGCAGCCCGCCGCAGGCGCTGAAAGACACCTCAGAGCATTGTGGGGTGGCCGCGTCGGGACAGGCTCGTGGGCGGGTCGCGCGGGCGCGCATCCACAGCGGCGTCGTCCCGGCATGTGTTCGCGATGAGATCCTCCGAGGCCGCCCGCCGCAGGCGCCGACCAACAAACATGTTCAGACGGTCAGGCCCCACACGAGAATCGATTTAGTTCGCCCCTCGCCCTTCCCTCTTCGCCCTGGCGGAGGTCCTCCTCCTGCCCTCTGATTTGCCTCCTCCTCCTCTTGTTCCTCTTCGTTAGTATTGTCGTCCTCGTTAAATGTATGATCCTCTTCCTTTTCCTCCTCCTCCTCGTCCTCCTCCTCCTCCTCCTCCTCCTCCTCTCCCTCCTCTCCCTCCTCCTCCTCCTCCTCCTCCTCCTCCTCCCAACCTTCCTCCATACATGTCTGTATTTATCTTGTTGTGTTTCCCTCTTTCTCTCTTTCGCTCTCTCTATCTCTCTATTTCTCTCTCTCTCTTTCTCTCTCTCTATCTCTCTTTCTCTCTCCCTCCCTTGTATATGTAGGCGTGTATATGTATGTGTGTGTTTGTATGTATGTATGCATGCATGCATGTATGTATGTATGTATGTACGTATGTACGTGTATATATATATATACATAGATAGATAGATAGATAGATAGATCGATAGATAGATCCCGGGGGACGTGGCCAGGGGGGTCCCGCCCAAGGACCTCGGCGGCGCATGGCGGGCCCGGGCCTACTTTCCTTGTGTGTTTTTACAAGGTCTCGGCGACCCCAAGCCAACAAAGCCCCAAAAGGTTGCAGGGAGCTCCGGGGGTTGCTCCCGCCTGGTGCCCCTGGTCTCCCACAGGCCTCCCAAAGGCCTCCAGAAGAGCTCCCCGAAGCTCAAACACTGGGTTTTCCCATGGCTTCTTCCACGTTTTTCTCCATGCAGCCTGTTCTGCATCCCCACGCTGCACGGCAGCCCCAAAAGACGCCCACACCGTCCCGGTTCGGCCCCAGAGGCCCCAAACCTTGTCCCCAGATGGCTCCGCATGGGAGGATCGGCGCGCACTGTCCCTGTGTTTTTTTACCGGGTTCCAGCGACCCGGAGCCAACAGGACCCCAACAGGTTGCGGGGAGCTCCAGAGGTTGCTTCCGCTCGGTGCCCCAGGTCCCCCACAGGTCCCCAAGAGGCCCCCAGGAGAGGTCCCCGCTGCTCTTGGTTGTCCCATAGTTGTTTCAACGTTTTTCTCCACGCAGCTGGTTTTGCATCCCCAAGCTGCACGGCAGCCCCAAAAGACGCCCACACCGTCCCGGTTCGGCCCCAGAGGCCCCCAACCTTGTCCCCAGATGGCACCGCATGGGAGGATCGGCGCGCACTGTCCCTGTGTTTTTTTACAGGGTTCCGGCGACCCGGAGCCAACAGGACCCCAACAGGTTGCAGGGAGTTCCAGAGGTTGCTTCCGCTCGGTGCCCCAGGTCCCCAAGAGGCCCCCAGGAGAGGTCCCCGCAGCTCTTGGTTGTCCCATAGTTGTTTCAACGTTTTTCTCCACGCAGCTGGTTTTGCATCCCCAAGCTGCACGGCAGCCCCAAAAGACGCCCACACTGTCCCGGTTCGGCCCCAGAGGCCCCAAACCTTGTCCCCAGATGGCACCGCATGGGAGGATCGGCGCGCACTGTCCCTGTGTTTTTTTAACAGGGTTCCGGCGACCCGGAACCAACAGGACCCCAACAGGTTGCAGGGAGTTCCAGAGGTTGCTTCCGCTCGGTGCCCCAGGTCCCCCACAGGCCCCCAGGAGAGCTCCCCGCAGCTCTTGGTTGTCCCATAGTTGTCTCAACGTTTTTCTCCACGCACCCTGTTTTGCATCCCCACGCTGCACGGCAGCCCCAAAAGACGCCCACACTGTCCCGGTTCGGCCCCAGAGGCCCCCAACCTTGTCCCCAGATGGCACCGCATGGGAGGATCGGCGCGCACTGTCCCTGTGTTTTGTACAGGGTTCCGGCGACCCGGAGCCAACAGGACCCCAACAGGTTGCAGGGAGTTCCAGAGGTTGCTTCCGCTCGGTGCCCCAGGTCCCCAAGAGGCCCCCAGGAGAGCTCCCCGCAGCTCTTGGTTGTCCCATAGTTGTCTCAACGTTTTTCTCCACGCAGCCTGTTTTGCATCCCCACGCTGCACGGCAGCCCCAAAAGACGCCCACACTGTCCCGGTTCGGCCCCAGAGGCCCCCAACCTTGTCCCCAGATGGCACCGCATGGGAGGATCGGCGCGCACTGTCCCTGTGTTTTTTTACAGGGTTCCGGCGACCCGGAACCAACAGGACCCCAACAGGTTGCAGGGAGTTCCAGAGGTTGCTTCCGCTCGGTGCCCCAGGTCCCCCACAGGCCCCCAGGAGAGCTCCCCGCAGCTCTTGGTTGTCCCATAGTTGTCTCAACGTTTTTCTCCACGCAGCTGTTTTGCATCCCCAAGCTGCACGGCAGCCCCAAAAGACGCCCACACTGTCCCGGTTCGGCCCCAGAGGCCCCCAACCTTGTCCCCAGATGGCACCGCATGGGAGGATCGGCGCGCACTGTCCCTGTGTTTTGTACAGGGTTCCGGCGACCCGGAGCCAACAGGACCCCAACAGGTTGCAGGGAGTTCCAGAGGTTGCTTCCGCTCGGTGCCCCAGGTCCCCAAGAGGCCCCCAGGAGAGCTCCCCGCAGCTCTTGGTTGTCCCATAGTTGTCTCAACGTTTTTCTCCACGCAGCCTGTTTTGCATCCCCACGCTGCACGGCAGCCCCAAAAGACGCCCACACTGTCCCGGTTCGGCCCCAGAGGCCCCCAACCTTGTCCCCAGATGGCTCCGCATGGGAGGATCGGCGCGCACTGTCCCTGTGTTTTTTACAGGGTTCCGGCGACCCGGAACCAACAGGACCCCAACAGGTTGCAGGGAGTTCCAGAGGTTGCTTCCGCTCGGTGCCCCAGGTCCCCAAGAGGCCCCCAGGAGAGCTCCCCGCAGCTCTTGGTTGTCCCATAGTTGTCTCAACGTTTTTCTCCACGCAGCCTGTTTTGCATCCCCACGCTGCACGGCAGCCCCAAAAGACGCCCACACCGTCCCGGTTCGGCCCCAGAGGCCCCCAACCTTGTCCCCAGATGGCTCCGCATGGGAGGATCGGCGCGCACTGTCCCTGTGTTTTTTACAGGGTTCCGGCGACCCGGAACCAACAGGACCCCAACAGGTTGCAGGGAACTCCAGAGGTTGCTTCCGCTCGGTGCCCCAGGTCCCCAAGAGGCCCCCAGGAGGCCTCCAGGAGAGCTCCCCACAGCTCTTGGTTGTCCCATAGTTGTCTCAACGTTTTTCTCCACGCAGCCTGTTTTGCATCCCCACGCTGCACGGCAGCCCCAAAAGACGCCCACACCGTCCCGGTTCGGCCCCAGAGGCCCCCAACCTTGTCCCCAGATGGCTCCGCATGTGAGGATCGGCGCGCCTTTTCCCGTGAGTTTTTGCAGGGCGTCGGCGACCCCGAGCCAACAGGACCCCAACAGTCTGCAGGGAGCTCCAGGAGCTGCTCCCGCCTAGTGCCCCAGAACTCCCAGAAGCCTCCCAAAGGCCTCCAGGAGAGCCCCCCGAAGCTCAAACATTTGGTTGTCCCATAGTTTCCCCCACGTTTTTGTCCCCACGCAGCCTGTTCCGCATCACGCTGCACGGCAGCTCCAGAGGGCGCCCAGACCGTCCCGGTTCGGCCCCAGAGGCCCCCAACCTTGCCCCCAGATGGCTCCGCGCGGGAGGATCGGGGCGCCCCGCTAAGGCCGCAGAGCAGCCAGGGGCGTTCCGAGATCTCTGCGGCGCCGACGATCACCCCAAAACAGCCCCCGAACGACTTCGTCGACACGGCATGCTTCCAAGAGGCCTCCCCAGAGGGCTCTTTGAGGCTTTGCTCTTTGTTTTTGTTCCAATGGTTTCTCCACGTCTATACATCCAGCTCGTTCGGCATCCCCGCGCTGCACGGCAGCCCAAGAGGACGCCCAGACCAGCGTGGTTCGGGCCCCTGGAGCTCCCAGCCGCGATCCAAGACGGGTCCGCGCGGGAGGACCAGCGCCCCCAAGTAGGCTCCACGAGCCGCCAGAGTCGTTTCCAGGCCTGCGCGACGCCGTCGATCGCAGACAGCCCCCCGAGCGACTTCGTCGACGCGGCATGCTTCCAGGAGGCCTCCCCGGAGGGCTCTCTGAGGCTGCGTTCCATGTTTTTGTTGCCCCAATGGTTTTCCCCACTTTTCACTCATCCAGATTGTTCTGCATCTCCACGCTGCACGGCAGCCCAAGAGGACGCCCAGACCGATGTGGTTCGGGCCCCTGGGGCCCCCAGCCGCGATCCAAGACGGGGTCCGCGCGGCGGGGCCAGCGCCCCCAGGTAGGCCCCACGAGCCGCCAGAGTCGCTTCCAGGCCTGCGCGACG